ATCATGTTATCACAGTAGGCTATTGCTGTAGTCTTTGTAGGTGCAAATTCCCCGAGTCGAAATTTTGGCCCCGTTGAACCTTTAAATCTATTATACAGTAGGACCTGAGACATTAAAATAGTCAAACTGCAAGTACAAAATTTACTCCTACTTAAAAACCGATAGTGTCGGAAATTTCTACTCTTGCCAACTTAGCATTAAAGCAGGTTCATTTAAGTAGGAGCTAAAGTTAATTTTTAGAATTAAAGATTCAGGGGCGGAGTAAAAATATATAACATATACGACGATCGCACGTTCAACGGCGTAAACAACTTCGGTCCCGAAATTCGCCGGTGCCGTCAACACTTTCCGCGCGACGGAAAGAGATATTCGCGAGTTCTATTCAATTACCGGCGCTGCGGAGTCGAGGCGGCGAAACGCGATCCACGATCATCCACGCGATCCATCCATATTTCACCGCGAACGTGGCCGATGACGAATCTCGCTCCTCCCCTTCCCCCGCGGAGGGCGATCGGTTCGACGCTGGGGTCTCGCGAGTGACGGTGCATCGACGCCGCCGCCGCCGCCGCCGCGACGCGGCGTCGGCGAGCGATCTTTATAGACACCGTCGGCCTTGTCCTTGACATCGACCGCGGCGTCCCGACGCTACGCAGGCGGCCCGTAGGCTGCGTCGAGATATCCAGCCGATACACGCGGAGCAGCCGAGAAACGTACCACGTGGAGGGGTTCACCCCCGGGGGGACGGAAAGAGGGATATTATTTAAAGAGGGTTGTAGGGGACGCGATCTATATCGGCGGACGTGCCGGCTTGGTTTACACGCTGGGGACATTTCGCAAGATTACGTAAAACCGCTCGAGGTCCCGTCGCGGGCGCGAGAGAGGCGTTAACGAGCGTGACAAATGACAGTTTGTTCGCGATCTATAAACGGCTCCTTTCTCTCGTGAGATTTTTTTTTTAGCGCGCGATAGAACGGGACTTGCAATCCGCGGACGCGACCGCCTCGCTCCGCAGTCCGCCGTTTTATCGCGGTGCGGGAGGGACGGGTAGGGGAGTCTCGAGTTATTTCTGTAGCCACATCGGCATTATGCACAAAGCAGAATTACCCGAAATAAAGCACCAAGGACGGGGTTCGACTAATCTCGTATCTCTACAACCGCGAATAAGATCATGTTCCACTACTATTTATTAACGCGGTGCATTCCGTCGGTTGACCGGCGCGCAGAATTGGACGTCCACGTGTAAACAATATCTAAGTGTAGTCCCTCCGCGTAGCTTGTCTTTCCTCACCTCTCCCGGTAATTCCGTTCCGCGTCGACGTCCGTTCGTCTTTAATAGGTATAGAGGGAGAGCGAAGCGTTAATGTAAGATCGATGGAATTAATTTAGAACGCGAAGGAAATCCAGAATTCTCTCAAACGTGTTCTGCAATGGAAGCAATCTTTATTTACATGTCCCGCGAGTGGATTATGCAGATAAATGCAAGATAGAGTTCCCAAAAATATCCTAGAGCGCGAGGATTATTTACTCTTCCCCCGCATGTTCTTAGGCTTGGCCCTCGGTCTTTTGCTTCGATTATCGCCGCGACTCTTCTTGCCACGTCCCTTAGTTTTTTCTTTCGCTCTCGCCGCACGTAAATCTTTCTTCAGCCTTGGATCGACTAATTTATATCGCCCTTTCACACCGGGCGGTCGAACGGACCGTTTTTGCGCAGTGTGTTTCTTCGCCACGATATATGTTACTTCCTTCTTCGGCTCCTGGCGAGCTTTCTTGTACAACCTAAATCAAATTGAGGATTGAATTACGGCGGCGCGTTCGTCTAAGTATCTAAAAGCATTTAATTTTACGGTACTTACGCTCTGACTTGCCTAGCCTTCTCTTTTTCACTGATATCTACATTATCCATCAATGCCTCCACCTTTTTCTTGGCCTTCTCAAGCTTGCGCATAGCGCGTTTCTTTTTCCTGGCTTTAGCCTCCATTACTTTCTTAATAGGTCTTACATTCAGGTCCTCCACCCTCTTTTTATACTCGTCGGCGAGTTCTTTAGGTACTGGCACGTCCTTCCTCATGTGTTTCTCCTCGTCCTTCACGAACCAGTCGGGTAGTTTATCGTCGTTGAACGCGTATCTATTCCAAGCCGAGTCCACCAAGTCCCTTCGTGATTTTTTACTTTGAATCAGCAACGACCCGAGTGCCAAATCCTCGGGAGACAATTTTTTCTTCCTCGGCCTTTTATCTGATTAATCATATAAACGAATGTGCAGATTAACATGAGTTAGCTGTCAGCAATTATTACGAAATCAATGAAATGAGCAACCAAACCGGGAAACTTGTTTACCTGTTTCTTGCGGCACTACTTCAAAGCCGTCCTTTCCGCCGATCTTTTTCGCCTTTTTATTGGGCGCCATCATTTCTTCCACGTCGTAATCCGAGTCTGTATCGTCACTTTCGCTGACGCTGCGTCTTCGCTTCTTCTCCTCGTTCACGGTCTCCTGTACTTTCTTCTCTTCCCCGAGGACGTGTCCGCCCTTCCTCTTGTACTGCTCGATCATTTTGTCCAATTCGTAATCCGCGTCGTCTTCGTTCTCCAAGTTTTTAAACGCGTCTTTCTCAAACCAGAGCGCTGCTTTGTGGGCTCTTTTGGCTTCCTTGTCCCGGAAATCTAGATCGGTTAACAACGGGTTGCTCTCGGGATCTTTAAGTTGTTGCTTCTTTCGCCGTTCTTTTGGGCTTTCATCCTCTGAATCGTCCAAACCTGTGTTGCAATCATAATTTTATGTACTGTTGAAAATTCTGACCTTCGCCAGTGCATAAAAATAATAAAAGAGTTGAAAATTATTCGACGTAATCGGCAATAAATTCCTTTATTTGAATCGCAACGTGGTAACCGTGATTTCCGGTCCTTTTCAAGTGTGAGGCAATCGCATAACAATTCTAAAGTCTAATAATTTTATAGCTTTTGTTGCAAATTTGAAGTCAGAAATAAGGTATAAATCTCCTAGGTGAGAGAGAATGATTTGGTTCATTATATTCAAGTCAGTGTTACCTAGCCCAGATTTTTCGCTGTCTGTATCGTCGTCCGATGCGTTGGAGTCACTTTCCTCGCTGTCTTCCGATTTGTAGTACAAATCCTTGCTGTCCAAATGACCCGTATCTTTCTCGTAATGAGTCGTTTTCGGTTTGCTCTCCTCGTCCGAGTCCACGTCGCTCTCCGCTAAGATGTCAGGCGTTTGATCTGTAACTTGCTCCAATTGTTGATAGGTTTGAATCTGACCTAACTTGAACAAATCCTCCCCTTCCAATTTAGGCCCCATGTCGTTCTTGTGAACCATCTTGAGATTGAGACGCTCGTTCAACTTCTGCCGCTCTTTGTTAACTTTCTTCTTTTTGCGCTTCAGCTCCTTAGTCTCTGCCTCCCGGAGCTCGGAGATCTGCTTTTGAATCGCCTCGTCCTCCAAATCCTCCTGTTCTTCGAGACTAACAGCCGCGGGCGCGGCGGCAATTTCCTCTCCAACTGTATTCTCCGTTTTTTCATTCGCTTCAGCTTGCGTCTTATGTAACGCCTTGTGCCAATTGAGTACAAGCTTCAAGTCCTTTCGCCCAAGTACCTTAATATCTTTGCAGCATTCTCGAATTTCTTTCGTCGTCTTCTCGTGCTTGTCGATAACATCGTCGTCTATCACTATTTCCGAAGCATTCTGCAAAGCTTCTATTGGATCCTCGCAGGCAATAAACTCTTTCGCGGATAATTTATGATACAACGTGTAATCGTTCTCAGGGTATCCTTCCACTTTCCCTTTCTTCTGCTTTTCTGGATGAAGAACATTGAACGTGTTCGTAGATTCTAGTTGCAATTCAGAAAAGACGTACTTCGGATCAAAGAACTTGGGATCTACTTTGTCAGGAGCAATATAATATTGACAAACGACAAAAATTTCTGCAGACTCGCTACGCGAGGCCTGAGGTTTAGTGGCATGTACCTGTAATCAAATTCACAATAGTAAAACAACAGAAAAAAATAGAACAATGGAAAATAATTGCTAGCTTATATGATATGATATTGATACCTTCTTAAACAATTGTTTTAGCACCCAAAGCAACGAGTGATAATCCCTCGATCGAAATACTTTGGTTATAAACCATCCACCAGCTTTTAAGAATTGGGTGGCTAATTTAAGCGCCGATAATGTCAGGGTGACTTGCTGATACGCGTCGTGAAGCCAACTTTTCCCCACGTTCGGCGCACCGTCGTTCAAAACGACGTCGGCCTTCCACGTTTTCAATTCACGCGAGATAGCGACTCTACACTTGTCCGTTGTAATGTCTTCGACGAGACTGAGGCACCCCGGGATAGGCTTTATCGGGAATAAGTCCACGCCGATGAGTATCGACGAGACCGGCATATTTTGCCTGGCGACCTGCATCCAACCGCCAGGCGCGGCACACAGGTCGATGCATACTCTGGACTTTTGAAGAAACTCAAACTTCCGATTTAGCTGGATCAACTTGAAAGCGGCACGCGATCTGTAACCTGAACGAACCGTCCAATTTTAGTCATCATCTCGATATTCTAATATGATTAACTACTGAATGTTTGATTAAGACACCACCGCGTGTGATTTTTAGCTCAAGTTCACGAATAATTTAACATTACTTGCCTGTTTCCTTGGCTAACTGATAGTACTTGTCTTTTCTCTGCTTTCCAATCTTCGTCTTTTTCCCCATTTTGATTTAGAAAATATTCATTCTTTTCATAGATAAGCACATGTGTATTAATTGCGTGCAGCCGTTGCTTGGAACACGTAGCAGCGTGGTCCTCGATTAGCCGACTAGGTTAGGAACGTAACCTGCGGTCCGTTCGACGGTCGCATACACAAGGCTGAAAACGACATCGAATTTCGAGTGGTGGGGGGTGTCTCCGTTAGGTTAGGGCGCGTTCAGAAACACCACCCGAGTGCTCCAGTGTATCAATGGCCGCGTTCAGCAGACACAACTGTTGAATGAGCGCTCAGTATGATTGGTTAATACTTTTAGATCCAGCCAATCATGTTAACCAATCATACTGAGCGCTCACTCAACTGTTGTGTCTGCTGAACGCGGCCTTTCTATCCTTGTTTAACATACGGTTTAAAATACGGTGAGCAACAAGGATAGAATGATACGCTGGGGTACTCGGGTGGTGTTTCTGAACGTAGTCTTAAATGGATGCTGGAGTGATTCTGCACTTTTGCACCTTTCGCACTTAAAACTGTCTGTTTCGTGGAAACATTCGTGTAATATACAAAACAAATTTAGTTTCAGTGATGCCATATTGTTCTTTAATTTAGCTGGAATAGCAAGCTGCTTTCGGCCTAAAGCCTTGTGTCCAAGATCCAAGAACTGTGTCCAAGTTC